TTAGTACACAACCAAAACCCATCTTTGACGCGTCACTATAAACTACAAAATCTTCCATTCCATCTGGTAAAGATAGAATTGGTGCACTGCATAACTTATCCTTCAATATCTGAAAAGCCTGAGCTTGTACTTCATCCCACTCATATTTCATATTCTTCTTGTCAGTTTTGTTAATGGAGTAGCTATATGAGAAAAATCCTATATAAACTTACGATAATACCCAGCTAATCCAAGAAAACTTCTGACTTCAGTTGGAGTCTTTGGAGCTTTCCATTTTTCAATAGCTTCAATCTTGAGTGGATCTAGTTTAATCCCTTCTTTTGAGATAACATGCCCCAGAAACTGAACTTCCCGCAGCCAAAATTCACATTTTGACATCTTGGCATACAGTTTCTCTTGTTTCAACAATTCCAAAAGTAATCTCAAATGATGTGTATGTTCTTCTTCCGACCGAGAATATATAAAAATATCATCAATGAAAACAATCACAAATTTATCAAGATAGGGTCGACACACCCTATTCATCATGTCCATAAAGGTTGCAGGCGCATTTGTGAGTCCAAATGRCATAACCAGGAATTCATAATGACCATAACGTGTACGGAATGTTGTTTTTGACACATCTTCATTCCGAATTTTTAATTGATGATAACCAGACTGTAAATCAATCTTTGAAAAATAAGTAGCCCCAACCAATTGATCAAACAAATCATCAATTCTTGGGAGAGGATACTTATTGTTGATTGTCAGTTTATTCAACTCCCGGTAGTCAATGCACATTCTCATTGATCCATCATTCTTTTTCACAAAAAGCACCGGTGCACCCCACGGGGAAGTACTTGGTCGGATAAAACCTTTATCCAACAATTCTTTCAATTGCGACATTAACTCCTTTAACTCAGAAGGACCTAATCTATATGGTGCACGTGCAACAGGTGTTGCTCCAGGAATTAATTCAATCTGAAATTCTATCATTCGGTCTGGAGGTAGACTTATCAAATCTTCTGGAAATACTTCAGGAAATTCCCTTACGACTGGAATATCCTCCATCTTTCCYTTCTCTTTYTTCATATCTATAVCRTATGCAAGAAAACTAAYACATCCCTTMTGTACATACTTCCTAGCCTTTAGAAYTGAAATTAGGCTAGAGTAACGATCCCGCCGATCTCCATAAATAACAACTCTTCCTTTTTCGGGTAAGTCTATATGAATCATTTTTTTCATTACAGACTATGTTGGCTTGGTTTTCAGCTAACCAATCCATGCCTATAATTATATCAAATTCCTTTAAAGGCAAAAGAAATAACTGTATAGGCACCTCACATCCTTTTATACTTATAAAACATTCATCAATTATTTCCTTAATTGAAACTTCACTATCATTTGCTGTTTCCACAATTAATTCATCACTCAACGCTTTAGATTCTAAATGTGCAGAATTAACAAACGACGGTGACACAAAACAATGATTTGCGCCCGAGTCAAATAAAACTTTGGCACATACTGAATTAACAAGGAATGTACCTGTTACCACTTCAGGGTGCACTTCCGCCTCGTCTCTCGTCATCTGAAAGGATCTCCTTTTTGCATTAGACTATGCCTGTCTTATTCCTCCCCGTCCACTTGGATTAACACGATTATCCATTTGCCCATGGTCTGTTGGCATATACCCAGATCCTCAGCCCCCAGAATATCCAAATCCCCGTCCTCCAACAAAACCAGACCCTCAACCTTTAGCTTGCAGACAATCGGCATTTACATGTTGAGATGAATTACAAGTAAAACATCTCCGTGTCATCCGACTATCTCGAGCTATATGTCCTGGTTCCTGACATTTAAAGCATACTCGGGATTCGGTATTGCAATTTTCCTGATGTATCTTATGACATCGAGTACACGTCTTATCAGCAAATCTTGAGACTGGCCGATATAAATTTTTCATAAACCTCGGCCTACGAAAATCAGTTACTGTAGTTTCCCTTTTTCTTTTCTCTTCAACCCTTTCTTGTGGTTGTCGGTTAATATCTTATTCCAGTATTTCAGCAGCGTCAACTGCCGCCTGAAATATTGTCGGATTCCTGGATATCACATATTTTCGAAGATTCGACTCCAATCCCCAGATATACTTTCTGACTTTACTGTTTTCAGATATAATATAGGCTTCATCAAACCTAGATTGTTCCATGAAAACTTCTGTATACTGGCGGACTGACATGTTTCCTTGCTCAAGACGAAGGAAATCATCTTCCAACTTTCTTACTACAGCTTCAGGACAATACTGCATTTTAAACTTAACCACAAATTCTTCCCACAACATAGTCTTCAAAATGTTCGGATCTGAACTGGACAGGACTTCCCACCAGTACAAAGCACTTGATCTCAAACGTGACACAGCAAACATAACTTTATCCTCTTCTGCACTTTTACTGATTTGTAGACTCAGCTCTATCTCCTTAAGCCAACACATAGCTTTAACAGGATCACGCTCACTAGAAAACTTGGGAGGTTTACAAGCAAGAAACATTTTGATATCTCCTCCCTTTTGTATTGAGGATGAAGTAAGGGGTACAGATGTACCAGTTACAGGTGTACTAACTCCGGCTTCCTCCTGATAATCGGGATTTCTTACCACTTCTGGATTATTTTGTTTTGTACATCCCAACAGATTTACCAAACTTTCTTGGAACTTTCCCAACTCTGCTGCCAACATTTCTTGGGTAATAAACCCGGGATCAGGAACATTGTGTCCACCCCTTGCCCTTCCTCTTCCATGACCAGACATTGAACTTTCTTGAGCCGACAGTTCATGTTCTTGTCTAGTACCTCTACCTCTTCCTCGACCCCTGCTTTGACTTCGCGTTTCTATTGTCATCACATTTTTCGGATCCTCTCCTTGTGTTACGTTTCTTCTTCCCCGACCTCTTCCATAACCAGTAGAGGTCCTTTCTGATTGATTGGGATTATCTGTCATTTCTTAGTATATGACTTTTCTGTCACATTCAAACACACATGATTATTCTCATAATCACAATATAATAACACATTTATCCTCATGTCTATTCATAACTCAGATTATATCAATCATATATAATCTATCTTTTTTATAATAGGTTCAGCTATAACATATTCCCATGTTCATAGACCTAGTGAAACCTATTATTATAACTTTCCACACCTCTAGTTTAAGTCTAAGTATTTCGCAAATACCCAGATCCCTTAAATTAAGGCTCTGATACTAACTGTAACAACCCACATATTCCATGTACAGATAATTCACATTTTGATACTTATAACAACAAATGTAACATTGTTTACAAAATACAGATAAACAAAAACTTTCTTAAAATACATTTTGAATAACTAAATGTCATTCATTCTAAACTTTTCCCTTGCCTTTATCTGGCGAGGTATGATGACCTGCAAAACAGGTTAGTCCAACAACTGAGCGTTAGACCAAAAAGGTCTATTGAGTGTATAAATCCCAAACAAACAACATGTTTTCTAAACAATCAGTTCAGAATCAAACTTGTTCTTGATACATAAACTTATTTATGTCTCTCGCGGTTACACCGCCATTTCGTTTTTCTCGCGGTTACACCGCCATTTCATCTCTCTCGCGGTTACACCGCCATTACATCTCTCTCGCGGTTACACCGCCATTACATCTCAAAAATATTTCAACACATTAACCGGATTTTAAGTCCGGTCAACCTTGTCCGGATATGAAATCCGGACGAATACTTAGAATATTTAAGGTAAACCGATCACGCTTTAAGCGATTTATAATCTGGATGAAACTGTCCGGATATCAATCTGGTCATCATTTATTTTTTGAGCGGTTTAGTTTTAATTCGCTCACCTCTTGAGCGATTTAAAGTTAATCCGGTCACCTCTTGACCGATTTAGGGTTGAGTCCGGACAATACTTGAGCGGTTTATAATTCGGATGGTACTGTCCGGATATAAATACGGTCATCACTTAGACGATTTAAGGAAAAATCCGCATAATATGAAATATAAATCATAATAACCAGTTTTCAATAACTACTGAATTGTAAGCAAACAATTTATACTCAAAGCTTTAATACACTCACCTTATATTGCTGATTGGATTCAAGTCTGTGATTCTCCTTCAGTCTTTTCTCTCAAATCGCACAACTCACAAAGAAAACTTTTCTAATGAAGTAAATATGAAAATCCTCTACATCTTTTCCTCTTACTATTTATAGTAAGGTGGTACACACACATAGCCGACTTACCTTTTTCCATAATTGTTTTTACTTTAAATAAAAACAATTATACATACACACATTCTTATATATATATATATATATATATATATATATATATATATATATATATATATATATATAAACGGCTTTGTACCCGATTGGGAGCTCTGATCATCACATTAGTCCTTTTATTATCTGTGTAATATTGAGAGTATTTTTGTATCTCGGTGTTCATGAGAACTTCAGGGTTTATGTTTGTTTACAATTTCTTTGTAACCGAAAAATCTATTAGTTTGAACAGAGATTATTGGAAAATTTATTTGAAAAAATAACAAGAGTATGTGTCGAATAATATTAATGATGTTGACAAATACTTGACTCTAAAACCTTTTTTATCCGGAACTCAAATAATTGTTTAATATTTTATATTCACATGTTTTTATACCAGGTACATACATTCTTCACCTCGATCAAGTGAAGACTTGAGTCATTCAGTATATGATATTAAATGAGTTTTTAGTTCCTCTGGTCACTCATTTGGGGTTCAAGGTTTATGGCATGAAAATGACGATACAAAATAGTACAAGTTATGACTGATGATTGTTATAAATGATAGAAAAAACAATTAAAGAAACTCGTGATAACCTGTGCTTCGCCTGGGTAATCCACCAACAATATCAGTTCAGTTTCTGGTGTTTATAATCATTCAATGATATCTCATTTGAGGGATATCGATACGTAGAACAAGATTGATCATTATGGATTGCATTCAATCGAGCCTTTGCTTGATGAAGGTAGCAACCATTAGAGTCATGAAGCAAGCTACAATGATTCCAGTTGAAGCATTGATACGGCCTGCAGGAGATATATTATGGGAACTAACAGAATACAGTTTCCCAGATTCGTCATCTTTTACTTTGATGCTTGAAGAGCCTGAAACAAAAACCATAAACATTGAAAAACATAAATACTATCTTTCATCTCCCCAAAGATACATGCAAGTAATCCAAAGATGAAATTGGTAAAAATGGTTTAAGTTTGGAAGTTGTATAAATGTTGCAGCAAAAGGTACAAAGTTTTTGGAGCATAGGGACGTATGCCACCCGGCCCGCAATATGGGGTCAAGGGGCAGGTGGTGTTGCAACTTGGCTAAAACATGCCTCGACATGTGCGACCTTAGCTGCGGGATTGGTCGCTCTACGAGGCACAATGCCGCTCGGTGCGACACTGTCACATATGACATCGGCGACCATGGGTTCCGAAAAAAACCATTGGACCACTCAAACTAATCGAACAAAGTCAAACTAGACCGTTTATGGCGGTTTGAACGGTAACTAATCGAACAAAGTCAAACTAGACCGTTTATGGCGGTTTGAACGGTCCAGTTAGCTCCGGTCTGAAAAATAGTCAAACTGCTCGGTCTGAGCTAGTCTTAGGTTTGAATGTTTTTTAAGCGGTCTGAATCGAACTGACCGTCAAAAGTACACATGGTTAGTTATTGTTAGTTTTCATGTAGTAGGCTCTACTTTCATGACCCAAATAAAAAAAAAGTTGATCTATCCAAAGCATTGTATTTTTAGTTTTCATTTCTTAATACCGTGTTATCTAAATTCACAAAATCCCGAAATCCGTCAAAAATTAAATTAGAAAAATTCAAAATCTTGTTTCGAGGGTGCTCAATGTTTGTCCTTCCAACTATTGTTGATGGATTTGTTTACCATCTTTTCAATTTTCTCAATGTCTTTTTTTTTTATTCTAGAGAATTATTTCATTATGTTTATGTATATTATTTTTTAATAATGTTATGTTTGTAGAAATTTCATTTTACATAGAGATTTATGTGTTTTTAGTTTAAGCCAAAACGGCTAGAATCGGTCAGATCGGACCGTTTTTTTATGGTCCGCTTTGACCGATTTGGTCGTAGTATTTGAAAATTTTCTAAATGGTCGGCCGTTACATTTTTGGTTTGGGGAATTAAACTATCCAAACTGGATCCCGAACACGGTTACATCATGATGGAGGTCTTGTGGAGCATATTAAGGCATAAAAGCCTTATTTTTTCTGGGAAAGCTTCGTTCTTTTTATTTTGAGAGGGGAGAAGGCTTCATTCTTAAGTTTCCTTTCTTTTTCCTTTGATTTATTTTGAAATATAGAAAAAAACTGAGTTTGGATCCTAGGATCTTTGAAAACACGTTGTAATCCTCGTTGCTGGTTAGTGATATATCGATCTCTTTTTGTATAGACGTACACTATCACTCTGATAGTAGAATTATGTGAAATCACTTTGTCTCGATTTATGTGTTATTTGATAATCGTATATCTGATTATTAGTGCTTTATACACACTAGTGGATTGGTATTCTAGCTTGATCTCGTTTATGTACATTTGTTGTATTGGATTGGTTTGCCTTGTAATTTTCCTGACATTATTTAACCGTTAAATCACTTGATCGTTGTTGATATTTGAAACTACGACCTTACATGAAAGCATTAGATTGTACTGAAAAAAGTAAAAGAAGGCCGAAGAGAAAAGTATGCTTACAGTTATGCTCAATCCATCCGATCGTCTTCTTTTCCATATCGTATGTCACCACCTTATCTGTCAATACAAGATCTGCAAACAAACCATTCATTTTGTCACCTTTTACATGATATCATCAAGTTTTCTTGAGACAATCTTTTCAAGTAACTAATATTCCTATATGCTCACATTTTTCATCTGTCTTATGAAATTTTGCAGATAAAGGTGGTAACATAATGTACATAGCTTAACATTATAAACTGAAATTAATACAGATGAAGATGAGTCATGCTTGATAACCTCCTAACAAAGTTAAATCTTTCCCATCCTTAGTTTGCAAGTTGCTGTCCTGAAAACCAACGCACCATTCATGATCCTGAAACGACGATTTCATACAAGAATCAACCTTAAGCTAGCAACCATAGGTGCGAGATGAAAGATAACCTGGAATATGTACGTACCTCTACTTCAAAGAGGTATTGATGGGGATAAACTTTCAAAGAAAGTGAATTCGCAAAGTGAAAAGTTACAACAGGAAAACCCTTGTCAACACTGCATTCATCACAAGATTAAGACAATATTGTTACAAATCCGAAATTTATGTTGCACGACTTCAGAAAATGTCCCAGGAAAATTGCAACATTTGGCCGATAAAGGTAGTTTAATTACTAGTCAAATGTCTTTAATGCCTGTCTACTCTTCTATACAACCATAGGGCGCATTTGCTACATTGACTGAATAGGACAGAAAGGGACAAAATTGTTTGGCAATTGCCAGAAATGCCGATTAAGCAATTTCCCCCATCCCGATAAAGGGAGTCACCCGTGATTCATGTCATGAGGTGGGGCAACATGTGACAAAATCTAATTTTCATGGGACAAAACTTGAGGTTTCTTGTTCCACCCAAAAAAATAGAACAAGTTGGACAAAATATAATTCAGATTACCATATTACCCTCATAACCCCCAACCCTTTTCTCTAAACATGCCATCGATGCATCGATCATGACCTCCTTTTTCTCCCGCTGCAACCAAGACCCATCTCTGGCCACCCCTCCCACAATCCCCTCTAGTCATTTTAACAATTAATTTAGTTCAACGGTGTTCTAGTCTTGTCCTGTTCAGTCCAGTCTCATCGATCCGGTTTGTACACAAAAGGTAGCTTATATCATAACTATTTGGAAGAATTATCAAATTTGGAAAAAAGCAAAATAAGAACAGTGAACGAACACTTACTTTCCAGAGTACTTGTAGCATGTGAATTGCTGATCAACAATGTGACTCTTTATTTTAGGTTGTGCAACTTTTATCTAGGTCAAAAGGATGATCATGGGAATCATAAAGACATAAATTATAGTAATTGATCAATATGGCAAAGGCGAATGCAAAAAAAATGAAAAAAGTTTTCAAGTACCTTTTCCATAACTTGCTTGTAAGCCAGATCAGGTAAATAAGCTAAGGTCGTACCACTATCAATGATTATTCCTCGTTTCCCGCTTGGGCCAAATATACCGCTTGGAAGTCGTAGAACTTGACCACCTACCTCAATTGCCTTCATTTCAACATTATAATGCTCCCTACATGATGCAGATAAAATTGTAAAACATATATATAGGTTCGGTATCTAGTGAGAAGGGAAGTTATAGTAGAAATATAAGAAGAGATCTCTACCCTTGGATCAATCAATTTCCTTCTAAAAGTGAAATTAATGAGAAGCGAAATTAATGAGTGGCATGAAATTAAAAGTGATCCAGGGTTCAGATCTCTTCTTATATATATATATATATATATTTATTTATTTGTGGGAATAAGATGGAGGAAAATTTAATTCAGTATGCCTTCAAAAGAGAGAACTTACTGATCAGGAATCATTGGGGTTGTCTTTACTTTCGGCTGTACCACTTCTCCGATAGCAAATATGCCGCCTCCTTTAGAGCCATCTAAGCAATGTGAAAATATCTTTTTCACTTTTTTAGCTGAAGCAAGTTGTGAAAGCATAGAAGAGTTTGCTTGTCCAAACCCTAATATTCCATCCAATGCTGCTTGTGATGAACCCATATCTCCAGATTTTTGAGATCCGCACCTATCTTGGTTTTCAGAATATCATATGTTAACACATACATTCTACAATTATGACTAAAAGATTATGTCAAACACACTTCAGATGGGAAATGTGTATACTTGCCCGAATGCTATATTTCCGTTCATTGATGTGGTTTGATGGTCGCCAGAAACTCGGTCAACTTGTACAATATCTTTAACAAAATATCCAGTGGCTGAGCTCCCATCGCCATATGTAACGGAATAGGAACACTGCTTTCCCACCTTACAGTTACTAATAGCAGCATTGTGTGTGGATCTGCAAATTTGTTGATCACATGTAACGATTTTTGCACTCGAGGAAGCCTTCGGATTATATAACGCAAGTGATATCTGGTGACAGCAATCGTGAAAATCGTTATTTTCTAAAGTAAGAATGGAAAGATCAATTGAAGAAAATGTAAACTGATCAAGTTGATGTTACAAAGTACTTTTTAAAGATGTTCAAATTAGATAAGGAACATACTCCAAGGTCACTTTTCTTGGGACATTTTTGACATCCAACACAATTCACCCATAGAAGGTCACTTCCGGTATCAACTTGCACGTGATAATCCTTTGGTGGAGTGCCAATCCGAATCTTAGTGAAATAGAGCCTACATGAAATCATATACAAACAATATAACTATAGCATCTGATGGTGCATGCAACATATATATATATATTCATGCCCACATGTAGATGTATGCATGCATTCGTATATATGTCTATATATACATATTTCCCCAACATCTAGCATATATATCCCATTGATCATGTATAGGTTCAGTCAAACGAGTTGCAGCGACAAGTTCATGAATTAATAAATTGTGGGTATGTTCGCAAAACCAAGAGTCCATGTTTAGTCTCGATATTACTAGTACAAGAGAAAGACAACACCTTGAGGATGTGCATTGATAGCAGGGTTGCCAACATGACCATCAAATACCAGTTTCCTATACCAAGACTAGATAGCATGTTGGATAAGTTACATGGTGCCATAGTCTTCTCAAAACTAGATATCTGTAGTGGTTAACATCATATGCATATCCGAGAGGGGGGATTACTGAAAGACCTCCTTCAAAACCAAACAAGGCCTTTATGGCCTTTATGAAAAGGATGATTGTCATTTGGTCTAAGCAATCCCACTAGCTTGTTCATGAAACTAATGAATGAGGTTTGAAGACCCTTCTTAAACACTTTTCTTGTCATCGACCTTAATGATATTTAAATTTACAACAAACATAAAGATCAACATTACAATCACCTTGAAAAACAACTGTTCCTAACCCTTAAACAAAATAAACTATACAGAAAGATGGAAAAGTGCACTTTCCTTGTTCCTAGCATCAGCTTTTTAGAGTATATCATGGCTAGAGATGGAGTTAGAGTAGATCCTACACAGGTGGAAGCCATTTCCTCATGGCCTGAACCAAAGAATGTACACGAAATTCAAAGCTTTCATGGGTTGGCTTAATTATATCAACGGTTCATTCAAGATTTTAGCTCATTATCCCACCAATCACTGAGTTGATGAAAAAAATGGAATTTACATGGAACTCTACAACCATACATGCATTTGATGTTGTAAAAATTTGATCCACAAAATGAACCCAAACAGGAAAATTGTTGCGTGGTGTTATAATGCAAAAACAGAGGCAGTGAAAATGCAAACTTTTCATTAAACAATAAAGTAAGATATCTTACATATATATAAAAAACCAAGCATCGCAACCCTTCATCCTAATGGTTAACAAATGCCAACGGTTCCTACATAACTAACACTAAGGGTGCGTTTGGTTTGCAGGAATGTTTTTGAGGGATTTGGATTCCTGAAGGGATTTGGATTTCATGGGATTTGGATTGGATTGGATTTAAAATCCATTCCTGTGTTTGGTTTGCAGGATTTGGATTTGATTTGAAATCCATTCCTCTGTTTGGTTTGTAGGATTTGGATTTAAATTTTTTTTTTAATCACCAAATCTCTTTCATTTGTTAAACATATACTCTTGATGATTGATGGTAGGAGGGTAACAATTGATATTTCTAGTCAGATCCTATATTATTGGATGATCGGTTGTAAGAATTATCTGGTATTAACAGATTACTGTTCCATATCAGGCAATAGTACARCTGCTTCAACCAGAGCCTGTGAGTTTCTGATTCAGGGTAATTCTTTATCTAGGTCAAGCCTCTGAAGAAAACATCAATTATTTTAGTTACTCTCAAATATGACAACTCTGGATCCTGCTTCAATTTCTCAAGTATCATCCTAGATTTAGTTAGTCTCTAGTTTTTCTTCTAAAATTTCTTTCTAGCCTCTTACTTCAAAGATTCAAGCTACAACCACCAAGCATATAGATTGGAAAGGGAAGTCTTATTACCTGCTCAAGCGAGACGAAGAGGCGAAGAGGATGAACACCGGTTCAAGTGGGACGAAGAGCAGAGAGGAGGAGAGAACCGGCGAGAGCAGTGGGGAGTTCGAGGTTATCTCCGGCGAGAGCAGTGGGGAGTTGGAGGAGACCGGCGAGAGCAGTGGGCGGCGAGAGGTGGGAGACGAGAGCAGTGGGCGACGATGGTGGAGACGGA